ACACAGAGTGAAAATTTACCTCTTAACGGTGATTAATCCAAAACCCACTTTATGTTTACAGGTTAGAGATTCTGCATAACTAGCACTGAATTGAGTCAGCTGGCTCGACTTTCCTAAAACCACTTAATCTCTGTCAGCAGATTTTGCCACTGGAAAACAGTAGACACTGGTTTTGTCTACTGTTTTGTCTGTGTGAGCCAATGTTGTGATAATCATTCATGTCCTATTAACTATCTAGATCCTTATGTCATTTCAAAAGAGCCTCAGAGAGACTTGTCATTGAACTTGGACAGTTCAATGCAGGCAGATGTGTTTAGCTCTTGTATGTTATCTACATTATCCAACACGTTTATAGTCATTAAGCTGATAATTTGCTTTCCATTTGCCTTTTTTTTTTTTAATTGATTCTGAATCCAAGTTCAGAAAAAGGGTGCTATTTATTGGGTTCCAAAAAAGCCCCACAACTTCTGCTCTCACTTTTATTAAGTAAAATTGTTGCTGAGGATGATTAAATCAAGTGCCAAATAGGGAATCAAAACTACCTGCAGGGGAGAGTACGGGGAGATAAAAAAGTTAAAGAGGAAGAGAGATGAGTTGAAGACCATGGTCCAAATACCAACAAATTCCCTAGAGAATAATTATTCATCAGCTATTTGATAGTCCAAGGCGTCCTGGTGTGACGCTATGGGATAAAGCACTGGACTGCAAGGTTGGTTTGAACTACAAGGTCAGAAATTCAAATTCACCACCGGCTCCTTGGAAACCCTACACAGGATGCTATGAGTAGAAGGCACTTAACCGCAACAGTTAATAGTCCAAAAATATGTAAAGATTAAGGGTATAAAACAAAGCTGGACCTGGTGTATCTAAGAGATAAGATTAATTGTCTGATCAGTGGTATGTAGTAATCTATCTGCATCCTGTGAAGGCAGAAGGTACATATGTACCTTCCCCAGCAGGACTCTGGGTGTGGCGCTGTGCGTTAAGGCGTCAGACTGCAAAACCGTAGCAATTGCAAGCTCAGCGGTTCCAGTTCATCAACGGCTCCTCGAAAACATTATATAGGGTCGCTATGGGTCGGAACCGATTGGATGGCACTTCACAACTTAACCAGCAGGCATTGTGAGAAGTAGAGTTGGGCGGCTAACTTCAAGGTCAGCAGTTCGAAACTACCAGCCATTCCGTGGGAGAAAGATGAGGCTTTCTGTTCCCGTCAAGATTTACAACCTCTGGTCGCTCTGAGACAGAAAACGTCACCACCACCTAGGAGGGCACCTTGTGGAAAAAAGCTGTCAGCAGGTAGGGAATTCAATACCTGTGTATGAAAGTACTGAAATCAGTTAATAGGGTAAGTCACCAGCCCGGGGAGTAGGGGAGAGAAGGCTGGAGCTCCAGTCCAAGACCCATAAGAATTATGCGTGAACAATATCCTACTATCCTAGAGGAAGGCCACACGGATTCACCTCACTTACAATTTGGCTCGCGCCTGCCTCACAGATTCTACACAACTTCCGAAAGCCCCATGAAAGACTGCCCGGTGGAACGCCTGAAGGACCCCGCTGGAGCTTTGTAAGCTGACTAGCGCGGTGCCTGGCGATCGGGATTCACGGCAGGAGGATCAAGTGGATCTCGACCAGACTCAGGTTGGAAACGGTCTCGAATAGCCCGAAATCTGGCTTGGGGTTGGGCCTTTAGCATGAAAGGCGAGGATTGCGTGACCTGGTACAAGATGGAGTGCCGGTCAGAAGATGAGAGCCTGAGGGTCTGTCTGGAGGCGCCTGGTCTCAGGTGTAGTAGAGGCTTAATGAGGGGGCTGCAGTTTAAGGCCGAAGGTGGGAGTACATACAACCTGCTTGGAAGGGTAGACTCCTCAGATGCCGCCGATGTGGGAAAGCCCATGAAACGTCTAAATTTTGTAATTTTCTGATGAACTGACGTCCGGAGAAACTTGGAGTTGACCAAGTTTCTCGACTTGTCTTTTATTATAAACACAAAGCCAAGAAGACAGCACTAACTTCGCTGGCATTAGGAAAGGAAGTTTGTCCTCTCCCTCCTCTGAAGAGTCCCCTCGCAGCTTGGCTTTGGGATGAATGGATCGGGATCATTAATTGGTTCATTTGCTCCCCATAAATAATGAGGACCTGGTGGTGAGGACCTCGTAGAGTGAACTTCTAGTGGTGGAGATATATAGAAATCAGATATTCCGCTGATAAGAACACTTGATCTTTGCCAAAAGACCGAGAAGCGATTGACATAGACATCGAATAGCTATACAATTCCAAACTGAAGAATGTGCAAGGAGCAGTGAGAAACTTTAACAGGGGAAGTGAGGTAACTGGATGAATTGGAGGTAACCAAGGAAAGCACATTCTGGGTTGTAAACATGCCCACACAAAGGCTGGCAGGCCAGAAAGTCTTTTGGAACTGAAAGGCCTATAAAGTTGAAACAAAAAGCTAAGGAGTGTGTAGGGCTTTAGATGAAACTGGAGAGGTACCTAAGGACTTCTTGTTGTTGTTAGGTGCCATTGAGTCGATAGCGACCCTATAGGACTAGATCCCACAAAGTCTGGTAGGCTGTGATAAGAATTTTGGCACTCTAAAGGATTAAGAAGAGGAATGACATGATTAAATTTGCATTTTTTTCATTCACTCTGGTTGCTGGGTGAAGAACAGATTAGAAAGTGACAAGAGTTCCAACTGGAAGATCACTGAAGAGGCTATTGCAGAGCCCAGGGAGAGACTCTGCCTGAGGCAGTGGCAGTTGAGGAACTGATGATAGCATGGATATGAAGGATGAGGAAAAGGAGGCATCAAGGATGGCTGCCTAGATATATGGCAAAGATTCCATTTGCTCTTGAGTTAGTCACCATCTGATACTGGGATGTGAGGGAGATTGGCTTGATTGATATTGTTCTGGTTTGACAGAGCTTGGTTTTATATTTGGAGTGGAGCATCAAACAAAGCTATAGAAAGAACAAGAGTAGAAGAGAATTTGGCATAGCTTCATTATGTGAGCCAGACCCTAGCATCACCTTTATTGTGATTGGTAGGCTACCTTCAGGCTAAGAAAAATGACAGTGTTGTAAAGATTCTGCTGGTGCCTACGTTCATAGAAGCCTTCTCTATTTGTTAAGATTTAGGGATTCTTTCAGATAATCTTGGAAACCTAGCATTTACTCCTGCAAAAGTGATCCGTTTCTCACATGTAAATTGAACTTTGGAGTTGGAAGAAACCTTGAAGTCTTTTAGTCCAGCTTATAAAACTCTTTTATACTAATTACATCATTTCCATTATTATGTATTGAGTTTCTATACCATGTTAGACACTAGGAGTACAGAGATGAGTAGAGTAAAATTTTGGAGGTGAGTCAAAAGTTATCCACACTCTGGCTGTAGTATTTCTTTTAATCAAATTTTAGAAAAGACAAATACATCATTTTTTGACAGTCTCCTTGCTTTTCAATACATTTTGTCCATCTGTCAACAAGCTTTCGTGTTCTCTTATTAAAAGATGTTTTAGGTTGAGTTTTGAGCCACAAATGCACCGCTGCTGTCTTCACTTCTTCATCAGAGGTGAATCTTTGTCCTCGAAGGCCTGTTTTCAGGGGACCAACAGATGAAGAAAGTCCAATGAAGCAAGATCAGGACTATAGGGAGGATGCTTTAACACCTCAGAAGTTTTTGCAGTGTCAACAGTGTAGGTAGAGGTGTGAGGATGTGCATTGTCATGCAAGATCACAATGCCCTTGGATAGCAGTCCTCTGCATTTAATCCCAAATTTTGACTTCAGCTCTTCAGTGGGCATCTCACTGTAAGGAGCACTTGTTAATTGTTGAACGTTTTTTCCTAATAGTGTTCCAGTAGTGGCCCTTGAGGGTCCCAGAAAACTGTAAGCATGAAATTACCATCTGATGGTTGACTTTTAATTTTTTCTTGGTCAGTGATTGAGAATGTTTGCACCATTCCATCCTCTACAGTTTACTCTCAAGCTCATAGTGATAAATCTATGTCTTGTCACCAGTAATGGTTTTTTTAAAGAAACTTTTTCCTTCTAGTATCAGTCCAGATTTTGTTTGCAGATGTCCAAATGCTCTTGTTTATGCCCTTCCATGAGTTGTTTCGGTACCCATCTCGCATAAACTGTTCGAAACCCAAGTCTGTCGTGGAGCATTTGATAAGCAGAGCCCTGACTGATTTGCAAATGATTTACGACATAATTCATTGTGACTCGTCTATTCGATAAAATCATTTTACATGCATGCTCAAGGTTGTCATCAGCTTTAGACATAGTCAGGCGTTTTAATGTGACTGGACTCACCCTCACATACAGGTTAGTTTTGTCAACAAAACTGATAGAGCACCTTTGTGCCAGGCACTGTTCTATTTCAGATACAAACTCACCTTGGAGTTGTATGTTTACAAGCCTTGCCTTTGTGGACAGCTGAGTATATTCAAGGGTTTGACATAGGCAGAGATGATCGTACTAATCTTAAGATTGCTCTATATCTAACAGACTTTTTGGTATGCCAGAAACATCTCAATTCTTGTTCATCAGTCTCTGATTCTACAATTAATGGAGAAGAACATTCTGGGATAGAGGGTTTTAAAAGGAGAATCAGTCATTGTGCTTTTTTATGAGTCCTATATAAAACACAAATGCAGTTAAGAAGGGAAGGATGTATTGGTGGAAGTGATAGTGTTTAAGCTTGAGTTTCTCCCTCATAGATTTATAGCAGCACAGGCCAGATAATGATTCCACAGGGCAACTTGAACACCTCTCCACACCCTTTCCCCTAAATCCCATGAACCCAAATGGGTAATTAAATAAAATGATGTATATAACCCTGCTGTGTAACTGTCAAGTGCTTTATAAGTGTAAGGTTGACTTAGATTTTGAGATGAAGAGATTGGTTGACTTAGAAAGTGACACAGCTCCGAAGTAGGGCTGGGTGGTAATACAGTGCCAGCAGGTCCCTAATCCCGCTCTCTGATAGCAGGAGATGGCCTCTCTTTTACGAAGCCCTCAGGCTCTCCAGCTCACTCTAGCCCTGATCAAGCCTGATGCAGTTGCTCACCCACTGATTCTGGAGGTAAGAACAAATCCTGAGCCTTTACCGTATGTCTTCGACACTGCAAGCATTTCAGGTTCACTTGTAGCAACTAAAGTCGTATACTAGATCTTGTGGAGGCAAAGCTAGGAGCCATGGGCCCAAACCCTAAGGAGACTAAAAATCTAATGGAGAATTAAGGTAAGTATAAAATATGAGAAGTAAACCAGTACTGTAATAAAAAGAAGCAACTATCAAGACAAAATATGCATATTTTTTTCTATTTCTACATAACACATAAGCCCAAAATTTCTTTAAAACAAACCCCATTTATTATTCCATAAGTCTATAGATTAAAGGTCCAGTAGTCTCAACTGGGTTCTCTCCTTAGGGTCTCACAAGTTATAATCACAGGCATTGGCCTGCTAGGCCCTTATCTAGAAGTTCCAGGGAAGAATACACTTGCAGAATTAGGGAAGAATAAAAGAAGCCAGTTATTTGTAGTTAGGAAACTGAGGCCCCTGTTTCCTTGCAGATAATCAGACAGGGACTGCTCAGTTTCTCGAAATTACCCACATTCCTCATCACATAGTCCCCTCCATCTCCAAGGTAGCAACATTTTGTTGAATCCTTTTTGTGCTTCCAATCTCTCTGACTTCTTCAGCTCGCAGCTGAAGAAAACTACTTTTAAAGGGCTCATGTGATTGATTAGGCCCACCTAATAATCTCCCTTTGATTACTTCAAAGTTGATTAATACCTTAATTACATCTACAAAATCCCTTTTGACTTATTATGGCTTATTACATAATCAGAAATATATCACATATTCAGAGTCTTACAGACTAGGAAGGGAAATCTTGGGGGTGGAGAAGGGTGTCATCATAAGATATCTACCATGTTGTGACATGTATTAGTGAGCAGCGCTGGTAAGTAAGGCCGCTGTGGTACAGAGCAGGGCCAGAGCAAATAGAAATAGTGACCTGGAAATGGTGGGACCCAGCTGGGCTACAAAGGAAGGGTGAACTTTGGTTAGTGCCCAGGAGTACGATGGATGTTCAGAGATAGGAGATGCTGAGGCAAGAATGAGTGGTGGGTTAGAGGGCCACAGGTGAGCTGGGTTGGTCACACTACAAAACTGGAAAGGTTAGAGGACAAGGAAAGTACAGTCTTGTGCACCAGGCTAAGTGACAGCATGTCATTCTGTGAATAACAGAAACCACTCAAAAGCTTCTGACCAGAATGAAATGTCCATTATGGTGTTTTTAACCTATCATGTTTGGTGCTTTGGGAAGAATGGGAGAAGCTTGAGGCAAGACTGCTACCAAGAGACTTACAATGTTCTGAGTAGTGGGCGTGAGCACAGGGGGCTGCAGGAATGGAGGGCAGAGACAGCACTTGTGCATGATCTTGCTATGTGACTGGAGGTCTTTACCCTCCCATCCTTCTGCCCCACCAATGGGACAGACTCTCAAGTTCTGGAGTCCTCGTCGTTCTTTTGGTCAGCATGAGTCAACCTGCAACACTACTCCTGTTCACTCAAATGACCCCTCTGCCTGATTTTATCTTTGGGATGGTTTTTATCCAGGCTGTTCATCAGCAGATTCTGAGCAACAAGTTCCTTATAGTACGAATGAGAGAACTACTGTGGAGAAAGGAAGATTGCCAGAGGTTTTACCAAGAGCACGAAGGTAGGACCAGGAGTCTTCTAATGGGATGCTTCTCTGTCCTGAGGCCATTAAGAGATTTTACCTGCAACACAATAGCACGCTTTCTGACATACACTCTTGTAAGGTGTCAGCCATTCCAAATTCTTGGTTTATATACAAACTTTTAAAGTCAATTTTTAATGTTTTCTAGAAGAACTATCTAATAGTCCCTGCCACAAATGTAATTTCATGTCTTGACAATAATATCAATAGTTAACACTTTAGTGAGTGTATACTCTTTGTCAGGCATTGTCATAATGCTCACCATTTAATTCTCCAGCAGTCTTATGAGGTGGGTATTTTCAAATCCCCAGTACACTATTAGAAAACTGAGTTAGGAAGGTTAATGACTTAACCAAAACTGTACAAGTTATAAGTGGTTGAACCTTGAGTCAGACCCATGTATGTCAGAGTCTAAGGTCTTGGTTCTTATCTCTATAAAGTTTCTATTATTCTAGATAAGGACGTGGTGGTGTGCCGTGGAGTCGGTTCCAACTCATAGCAACCCTGCACAGGGTTTCCGAGGCTGTACATCTTTAAGGGAGCAGAAAGCCTCATCTTTCTCCCATGGAACCGCTAGTAGTTTTGAACTGCTGACTGTGTGGTTAACAGCCCAGCTTGTAACCACTACATTTCCAGAGCTCCTTAAGATAAGGAGGTAGAAATACAAAAAGTCATCTGAGGCTCCAATGTCTTGATGAAGATACTCTTTCTTTGCAGGGCGTTTTTTCTATCAACGACTGGTGGAATTCATGGCCAGGTACTTCTAAATTAGGTTCAAGAATTTTTATTCACTGTGGCATTATCTCCCCTGCCCCTCAAATAAATGATTTGATTTCATGCTGCTGTGTAAAGTTGTAATCAGTGTCAAGTCTGAAGAAACATGGGCTTGAGTCTCTGAATGAACTACTAAGCCAGTGGTCACCTGTCTCATGGTGGTTACTGGTCCAGTGGTTGCTTCAGGAGAGCATTGTTGAATGCCACCTAGCTGATCTGTGTGGCCTTTCTTGTACATCAGCAGTAGCCCTCCATTACCTTCTATTTGGAGCAGCATTGGTACTCAGCTAGGAAAGCAAGGAAACTCCCAGGATGTACAGTGTGCTTTTTTCCATACCCTGCTCACAGTGTACCCTCCTAGACCAGACATGTGTTCCTCTCACAGTGGGCCAATCCGAGCCTACATCCTTGCACACAAGGATGCCATCCAGCTCTGGAGGACACTAATGGGACCCACCAGAGTGTTTCGAGCACGCCACATAGCCCCAGATTCAATTCGTGGGAGTTTCGGCCTCACTGACACCCGTAACACTACTCATGGCTCAGGTAAGTCTGCCATGTCCACAGCTACAAATAAGGTAGGGAGGTTTGGGGTTGGCGTTCGTTCAGACTGTATGGTGGGGCTGAGAGCCAAGTTCTCATTTTTGTGTCTGGTCTTTGTGGCCATAGGCAGGTGTGGCCTATGGACTTTCTTTATATGCCCAAGACCAAGAGGGCAAGCGAGAGACATAGAGGCTCACCATGGCCAAGGTTTCTAAACCTAGTTATGAGTATCTCCTGCATCCACCCTGCACTGGTATGAGACACCTTCTCTTTCTCACAGACTCTGTGATTTCAGCCAGTAGAGAGATTGCAGCCTTCTTCCCTGACTTCAGCGAGCAGCGCTGGTATGAGGAGGAGGAGCCCCAGTTGCGCTGTGGCCCTGTGTGCTACAATCCTGAAGGAGGTATCCACTGTGCAGCTGGAACAAGAGTCTCAGGAGCAGCCTGATGCAGGCTTGTTGCTCTGTGAAGGCTGGTGGTATTACTCAACTTTTGCTATTAGACCTCCGGTGTAATGCATTATACTACAACCAAAGAATTCTGAAGCCCTGGTCTGGTGCTGTAAGATACACACTGGGCTTCAAACTGCAAGATCGGCAGTTCAAACCAACCAGCTGCTCCCTGAAAGCCCTGTACAATGTTTTTGAGTCAGAACCAACTCAACAACTCACAGCAACAATGAAGATTCTAGGAACTTAGTTCATCACTGCCAGGCCTCTAGAGTCTAACTCTTTACATGCCTCATCTCTGGAATGTTCACAGCTAGTTCAGAAGAATGGTGAACAAGTAAAGCTGGTCACCACCTGTGTAGTTCCTCTATTTGTTTGAGAACTGTTCATCCTGCTTCAAGAAGGAGCTTGTCTAATTTACTTGCCTGAGATGTAAGTCCCCTGAAAAATGCAGTGACTTTGGAAGCATTTAGTGTCTCTTCCTCAATAAAAGTCAGTGTTTTACTGAATCCTCAGAGCCGGGAAAACTATAGTGTCAGCAACTTTCTCTTTATCCTTACTTAGAATAATGAAACCTGCCATGAAGCCAGGTTGTTAAGTGAAGAGAGAATTATGTAGGATTCTCCCAATGAGTTCACACATGAGTGCACAGCTTATGTGGTGCATAAAGGTACTCAGCAAAGGAACTGAGTGTTGGTTGTGTATCTTGGCACAGAACTGGGTTTTGGAGGAAGGGAAACCGTTTTGAACAATGGTGTATGAGTCTTGGCTAACAGGGTCATTTCACTTTTTTTTTCATTTGTACAAAGGCACTAAAATTAGCCATAACTCCCATGTAGCTGAGTTTAGTAGTTATCTTTTGCTACAAAACTAATCACATCAAAACTTAATGGCCTAAGACAACAGTTTATTCTTATGTTTCTCTGGGTTGGCTGGGTGATTGTACTGGGCTTATCCGGACTCACTCATGTGGCTGCATTCAGCTGAAATTCAGTATGATTTATCCGTAGCTACATCACAGTATGAGTCCTAGTGTGGCGCCGTGGGTTAATGCGCCAGCCTGCAAAGCCGTTTGAACTGCAAGGTCGGCGGTTCAAGCTCACTAGCTGCTCCTCAGAAACTCTATACAGGGTTGCTATGGGTCAGAATCAACTCGACGGCACTTAACAACAAAAACAACGTATCACAGCATGTTGTTTCAGGGTTCCATGAGAACAGGCCCAAATTCACAAGCTTATCAAGCCTCTTCCTGTATCATGTTTGTTATAATGTCATTGGCCAAAATAAATTCACATGATTAAACCCAGAGTCCATGTGTAAAGAGGGTGAACAAGGGCATGAATACCAATAAGTATGAATCATTAGGGACCACTTCTTTTGACAATATGCTACACTGAGAGCTAAAGCTTACATTAAATTGAGGTTGATCAACTAAAGATAGTGGTTTGAAATATTTACAGTTTTACTACCTCTTGGTTTAGAGTGAAATATCTATGATTCTTAGAGAATCTTCCGACATCAGAATCTATAAATGGATCTACATATGCACCCATCTCCTTCCATCTTGTTGCAACATCAGAAAGATACTTCCCATCCAAAGCTTCCCTTTCCTCGCATCCTCTTGATCCCATGTCTCCTTTTCAGGGGCTACGCTCTTTCAATTTTCTAGTGTCTACTGCACCTGTAAGAAGCCCTGGTAGCATTGTGGATTACACATTAGACTGCTAACTGCAGTCAAATCTACCAGTTGCTCTGCAGGAGAAAGATGAGGCTTTCTGTTCCTGTAAAAATTTACAGCCTCAGAAACCTTACATAGGGCTGCTCTGAGTCGAAAGTAACTTGGCAACACATTACCACCACCACTCCTTTTACTTTCTCCCCACTAAGTTCTTCCCCTTTCAACTCGAATATGTTTTGATGTTTTCCTTCTTTCAAAATCCTTTCAAACCCAAATTCTTTCATTTCCTTATGTCAAGTCTATGTCAGTTGTCTACACGGACAGGCTCATCCCCACTTCCTCAGTAGCCCACTCCAGTCTGACTTGCACACCTGCCACTCCATAGAGTTGCCAGGGTCACAGTCATCTCCAACCTGCCACATCGGAGGGGTCCTCTTAAGCCTTCATTTCAAACTCTCTCAACAGCATTCAACAATACTTTGTCCCACAGACTCATTTACTTTTCTTAAATATACTAACCCAAACCCTTAGTTTTCTTCTTGCTTCTCTTAGTTTTTGTTGGCTTATTCAAATATTTGTTTTAGTAAATTCTGTCCAAGGCATTCTGAAAGATACAGAGATGATGAAGACATCATTTGGTCCTCAGATTAGTAACTATGAAGTTGAATAGTCAACCAGTTCTAATATGAGGGGGCTATAAAAAGTTGGTGAGAAAATTTCTTTTCTTTTTTTTTTTCTTCCCACTTTTCCAGTGAGTTTTTATTATTAGTTAAGTCATGTTTCAGGATCCTGGGAGAGAAGTGAGGAGGGCTAGTTCAGATCTTCATGCCTTCTGCCTGCAGTCATCCCAGGTTGATACCCAAGATAAGGGGCAGAAGGACTTGTATACACACTGGTACCATTCATAGGTGGAGACATAATCCTCTTTGGTGGTCACAGCCTTCTCACCGCAGTGGAAGTCCAGGTAATTCTGCCAGCAGTTCTTGGTTTGATTCTAGTGAGGGAAGCGGCTGTCAAAAGAGACAGTTTGGTAGATCTTGATTTTGGTCTTGATGTCTTCTGCCATTGTGGTGACTCCTAAAGATGCCCCTGAAAATTCTGGAAGCTCAATGTAACCTTCAGAAAAGATCTCATTATCTTTTCATTACTTTTTTTTTTTTTTTTAGTTTTTATTGTGAATTGTGTAGGTTTACATGGGAGAACATCAGCTTTACATTCATCCTATCGTATATCATATTTCGTTTCACTGCAATGATTACAATCCCCTCCATGCATCATTCAACAACCAAAGGGTACACCCCACAGGCCTGCCCCCCAGCCATCAGCACACAGCCCCTCTCCCTCCCTGAGTCCAGTGTCCCCAGCCACTCCATCTGTCCACGTCATCATCTCTGCCTCCATTTCTGGCGTCACTGCTTCTCTGGATAGGGTCCCACACTCTACTCTTCTCACTTGATGGTCCCAGGGACCTCTTCTCCTGGACTGCAAAATCAGTCAGTCCCCTCCTTTTGTTACAAAATATATACCTTTACATTTCCGACCCTCACAGTCAGTCCTGATAGCAATTATTCACTATTGTACCACTAGAGTTTTATCCCCATCTCCTTTCATTAGCCCTATACCAACAGATTAAGGAGCTCTGGTAGCATAGTGGTTACAAATCAGGCTGCGAACCGCAAGGTCAGCAGTTCGAAACTACCAGCTGCTCTGCGGGAGAAAGATGAGGTTTTTTGCTCCCGTAAAGATTTACATCCTTGGAAACCCTGTTCAGGGCCGCTATGGGTCAGAACTGACGCAATGGCACTTAACAACAACAACATTAATATGAAAGCATAAGATACCATGGCAAAGATGGACCAGTGCTATAACTGAGGCATAAAGTCCCATGGAAAAACAGGGGAAAGAGAACTTTACCCTAGCTAGATGAGAATGAGGGTGTGAAGTCTTTATTGAAGATGTAGCATTGGCACTAAGCCTCAATGTCAAACAGTGTTGATAGGAAGGCTCTAGAGCCTTTTCATTTTTAATTCTTATAGGGTCATTTTCATCTATTAACAGGAGACCTGGTAGTGCTATAGGATTAGCATTGGACTGCTAACTACAAGGTTGGCAGTTCAAACCTATGTGGGAGAAAGGTGAGACTTTCTAGTCCCATTAAGATTTACAGCCTCAAGGAGCCATCAAGGCAAGTGGTCGGGTCCCCTCAGGGCAAACCCTCTTCCAAGACTAAGACTCAAAGGGAATACATGAGCAGGCATGTGGTCTGACTCATGACCACATTGGTCACTGGTAAGTGGAAGTGGGGGAAAACAACAATGAAGTTGTGAGCTAAGTCCGACCACGTTCAATAGATTCCTGTGAACCCAGGTTGAGATATCATTGGCTAGCAGTATGGCAAGTTCTGGGGACTCCTGGGCTCAGAGACAGTGACATGGCCACAGAGGACTAGAGCAGAGAGTGGAGCATCCAGCTGATATGAAGTGAGGGGAAATGCACAAAAACACCCATACTTGTAGATAGTACCCACTTAACCTGGCTTCAATGGCTGGATGATCAGAACTTGACTAGAAGAAGAAAAAAAGAGTAATCTGATACAATTTGATGAACCTGATTTATACTCATGGATGTAGTAGCTCAAAATAGGGAACAAATCTTTACAGTGAGGATCATTCCCACCCCCTTGGCGCATAGGGTAGACAGGGGTGGGCAACTTAGACATTGGCTACCCAAAATGGGGGGGCTACAAAGGCAAGAAGTGACTGGCTTACAAGCTTTCAAGAGGGAGCCTAGTTTCAGAAGGTGTGGGGGAAGGCAGAATCTCCACTGAGTGGTTTCCTATCTGTCTGGACGGGGCTGATGAAAGGAGATAGGGCTAAGACTCTTGTGGTACAATAGTGAATAATCGCTATCAGTTCTGACTGGGAGGGTTGGAAATGTAAAGGTAGATGTTTTATAACAAAAGGAGGGGAGTGGTTGATTTTGCAGTCTAGGAGCGGTGGTCCCTGTGACTATCAAGGGAGAAGAGCAGAGTGCGGGACCCTACCCAGAGACGCAGTGACGCCAGAGATGGAGGCAGAGATGATGATGTGGAGAGATGGAGCAGCTGAGGACTCAGGGAGGGAGAGGGGCTGTGTGCTGACAACCAGGGGGCAAGCTTGTGGGGTGTACCCTTTGGTTGTTTGATAATGCATGGAGGGGATTGTAATCATGGCAATGAAATGGAATATGATAGGACGAATGTAAAGGTAATGTTCTCCCATGTAAACTATCACATAATTCACAGTAAAAACTTACAAAAAGATTTATAGCCTCAGAAATCCTATACAGCTTCAGTATGAGTTTAGAATCAACTCGATGGCAGTGGGTTTGTTTACAGGTATGTTTCAATATTTTTGGTGGG